GTGCAAATAGCTGCTTCAGTCATGGGCCACACAATGATTTGGAAATATCTGTGGACTAAGGGCTCAGAGTGAGATACGGAGAGACCTTTTGGACAGGCTGGCTCCCACCCATCATGTCCTCCAGGATACCTTGAGCACCTCTGTCGGAGAACTTAACATTATCAGGAGGTGTGGGGCCCTGATGCATTTTTTAAAATTTTTCCTCTCCATGTAAATTTGTTGTATCTTTTCAGTTAATATCCCATGAGCCCCCCCCCCCCCCTTTTTTTTTCCTCTGTAACAAAGCGCCCTTTGTTTCCCAGCAGGACCTGGTGCTGCTTTCTGCCTTACCAGAACGTGCAGACACTTGTGCATGGAGACACAGCACAACAGTGACAGTTGTCTGCTCTAACTGCCTGGAAACCTGGACTACTGCTTCAAGCATGTGGTGTTCAGCGAGCACATGGGTGTCAGTTCCCTGCAAAGTAATTGCGCATGAAATCTAATCTCTCCCATGAGTACATGTGAATGGCAAATAGAAACAGGAATTTTCATCCTGCAACCCAACAGTAGAATGACTAAATGTACAAATTCAGCTCTGCTTCTGTATCGAGAAAGTGCTTTTGCTGGCCTAATGGTTGGCAAACTGTAAAATATTGTCTCAGTGCTGGACATACTCAGTGTTTGCAAGAATACTTCCTATTTTTTTTAATAAAATGTAGTATCTTCCCTGCTTCTGCTATGTGAACTGCAACTCTTCCAGCTGCATTTGGAGGCAGCTCCAAATGCATACCCAAGTATGCATTTACATACCCAAGTGCGGTGTGAAAGCTCAGTAGGTACAAATGTGGGCCTGGGTTACATACAGCTTCGTTTGGCTGCAGGCACACTTTTAGATTTCAAGCTAACTAAACTTTCACTTGAAGACCTGGAGGGTTCATTCCTACAGTGAAACAAGTAGATAATCTCTGTTTTAACCACTAGATGGTCCTGTTTCTCAAAGAAAAACTTCCTCCAAATTAAAGCCGGTTCTGGCTTTTCTCTGGACCAGAATAATGTTAGTCAAAGGCACAAGTAATTACAGTCACATCCAGTTGCTGGATTGACATGGTTTCCTGAATAGATTAAATGGAACTTTCCTATGAATCCTGCAAACTCAGTGCATCTGGGCCTCTTATCGATTGTTGATAGAATATTTCCTAGTTGATGTCAGTTAAGAATGACTGTTTCCAACTCCAGACAACACGAATGTCGGTGTTACCCATCCGTCTCATTCAACCCCAGGCAAAATCAGAATGGGAGTGATTCTTTTCTCCATTTCACACATAGGCATCATGCTCTGCATTGGTACAGAAGGCTGGGCAGACTCACAACCGGTGCAGAGGTTTCCACACCATTATATTTGCTAACTGTTCATACGCTAGTGCGTGAAACACTGAGAGTGGTGGGCTGGCACACAAAAACCCCTGCTGTTTCTCCATCCAACCGCATTAAATGTCTTTGCTTTGATAATTTTCAGTTTATGGATGGCTCCTTCCAACAAAGGAAATTCTCCCCAGACCTCATCCTCTGGGGTCACTCCAACCTCCAAGAGATACCTACAGCTTCCCATTTTAACCATTCGTCCTGCCCTAAAACCTGCTCTGCCTTTGGAAAGCTGTCTCTCCTTCCTGCAGTGCTTCATATCTGCATTGCTGGTGTCTTTCTGAGAAGTTGTGTCCTATAGTGTCTCTGTGTATACATAGCGCTCTGATAGATTTATCATGGCCTTGCACTTCACAGTAAATGAGAATGGAGTAAAATAGTGCTAGAGAAATGCATAGTGAGCTTAAATAGACTGTCACGTACTTTAGTAGTGCTCATTACTTAAACCTTTTTTATAGAAGCCTTACATTAAGACAGAAAGATCGAAAGTGATAAAGAAAAAAAGTACTTAATGCTGATAAATGATGCGTTGGAACAAGCACATGCACCTCCTCCTTCTTGCAGCAAGGAGAGAGCTAGGGATGCCCTTGGCACAGGATTTCCTGAATGCTGAGAGTTTACATGGATTGAAGAAGCAACTGTGGAGGAAAAAGTAGTCCATTAGGTCCAAAGGCAAATTTGGTCCAGGAATCCTCTGAAGCACAAATCTTAGGGGCCTGACAGAGTATTCTTGTGTCAAAAATGTTGACAATGTTGCCCTGTTTTTAGACTCTTTC